GAGCTCCCTGATTGGACCAGATTAACAGCCCCAATCAGGGAACTCATATTCTATGAGGTTCACCTGGCTGACCTCACTACAATCACTAGAAGACCACAATTGGAGCAATTTAATCTTATCAAATGATGCAGCATGCACGAAGGGCCAAATGGCCTACTCTGCTTCTATGTTCCTGTACGAAATAAGTGGGCAGGTTCAGTAGGCAGGTTCCAGTGACGGCAAGTGGGGGCACCAATGAGTGGATAGAAAGGTTCCTCAAGCCAGGGTGCCCTCTCCACTGAAGGAGGAGGGGTCCATTTGGTAGTGGGAGTCCCATAAGCCCAACCTTAGGGATCAGCTTATACTTGGCGCCTTCACTGGGTGGCATAGACTCCACATTCACCATCACAGATGAAAAACACCGGTTGAGGCAGTTAGGCAGTCTGCAATGGCACACCTTACCGTTCCATTTAGGGCAGCACGGTGGCTCAGTGGTTAGCACTGCTGCCTCACAGCGCTAGGGACCCGGGTTCGAATCCACCCTTGGTGGAATCCACTCTTGGTCTGTGTGGAGTTTGCACATTCTCCCTGTGTCTGCGTGGATTTCCTCCGGGTGCTCCGGTTTCCTCCCACAGTCCAAAGACGTGCAGGCTAGGGGGATTGGCCATGCTAAATTGCCCGTAGTGCCCAGGGATGTTAAGGTTAGGTAGGTTAGACATGGGAAATGTAGGGAATGGGTCTGTGTGGGATGCTTTTCGGAAGGACAGTGTGGGCTTGTTGGGTGAATGGCCTGTTTCCACACTGTAGGGATTCTATGATTCTATGTAATTTAAACCCCTTACTTTCACCCCATTCTCACCAGCTGCCAGCAGAGTCCTGAGTTGTGCAGGAGTGGGAAGGTGTTTGAAATAACTGCACAGAGGCTAGTATTCTATCACCAAGTCGCCCTTTATTTACTTGTCCACAGTACACTGGCTGTGACCAGCCAGCTCGGAGTTAGTCAGCTGACTGATGAGATTCTAATCTCCTGCTTCTATTGGTAAATCAGGGCTTCCTGATCGGCCTAGGTTAACAACTTCAATCAAGGATCTCTTAGTCAACAAGATCCACCTGGTTCCATTCACTACAGTGTGAAACTCCATCATATGTCACAGCTCAGAGTAGAACCATCCCTGCTCCTAAACCTCTTGAAGTTGTATCACCTGGTTCCAAGTGACTGTCAGATATGGGTGACAGGCAGGCCATTCTCTGAATCCCTCTTCCCTTTGGAGTAAATCTCATTTTTCAGAGATTCCAATGATTGTAATCATCTATAGAATTCAAGATTTCCACTGTCCTTTGAATGAAAAAATGCTTCCTGACTTTACTTCTGCATGGCTTAGCAACAATGAATGAATGTAAGGACTACCTAATTTTGGGTTGTTAATTGTATGTGTCTCATGCTTACCTTGAAATGAAATGCATTTAAAAATACTGTTTCATCTCTCCAAGAGTTGGGGGCATGAAAGGACATGTGTTTTATTTGAGAAATAACTGAAAATGCAAGTTTTGACTGCGATGTTGCAGAAGACAAACCGGTTGATTTTCTTAAAATTTTATTCCAGAGGGAAACTGTGTGGTTTTCACTCATTGGTTACACAAGTGAGGGAAGAGATTGTGTGACCCCTTGCAGAGATATTTGTATCATTGACATCCATGGGTGAGGTGCCAGAAGACTGGAGATGGCTAATGTTGTGCCATTACTTAAGAAAGACTGCAAGGAAAGGCCAGTGAACTATAGACCAGTCAGCCTGACATTAATGGTAGATAAGTTGCTGTAGGGGATTCCGAAAGATAGGATTTACATGCATTTGGAAAGGCAGGATTGATTGGGGATAGTTAGCGTAGCTTTGTGTGTGGGAAATCAAGTCTCACAAATTTAATAAAGTTTTTTGAAGAGGTTACCAAGAAGATAGATGAAGGCGGAGCAGTAGATATTGTCTATATGGACTTTAGCAGGGTCTTCAATAAGATCCTGTATGGTAGACTGGTTAGTAAGGTTAGATCATGTGATCCAGGGAGACATAGCCAATTGGATACAAAATTGGCTTGATGATGGAAGAGAGAAGGTGGTGGTAGAGAGTTATTGTTCAGATTGGAGGCCTGTGACCAGTGGTATGCCGCAAGGATCAATTCTGAGTCCACTAATGGTCATCATTTTTATCTACAATTTGAATGAGAATATTGGAGGTATGGTAAGTAAGTTTGTGGATGATACCACAATTGGTGGTATAGTGGACAGTGAAGAAGGTTCTCTGAGGATTACAAACAGATCTGGAACAGATGGGCCAATAGGCCAAGAAGTGGCAGATAGAGTTTAAATTAGGTATTAGATAATTAGAAAATTATTTAAATTAAATGCAAGGTGTTGCATTTTGGTAAGGCAAACCAGAGCAGGAGTTACACTGTTAATGGTAGGTGCCTGGGGAGTGTTGTTGGACAGAGACATAGGGGTGCAGGAAACCACTTGAAAGCAGTATTGCATGTAGACAGGGTGGTGAAGAAGGTGTTTGGTACGCTTGTCTTCATTGGTCAGAGCATTGAGAATAGGAGTTGGGGTGTCTTGTTGCATTTGTACAGGACATTGATGAGGCCACTTTTGGAATACTGCATTCAATTCTGATCACCCTGCTATAGGAAGAATGTTATGAAACTAGAAAGGGTGCAGAAAAAATTTACAATGATGTTGCCAGGACTGGTAGGTTTGAGTTATAAGGAGAGGCTGGTTAGGCTGGAACTTTTCTCCCCAGGAGCATCGGAAGCTGAGGGTTGACCTTATAGGGGTTTATAAAATCATGAGATAAAGTGAATAGCCAAGGTCTTTTTCCGAAGTTAGGGGAGTACAAAACTAGAGGGCATAGATTTAAAGTGAGAGGGGAAAGATTTAAAAGGGACCTGAAGGGTAACTTTTTCACACAGAGGGTGGTGTGTGTATGGAATGAACCGCCAGAGGACGTGGTAGAGGTGGGGATAATTACAACATTTAAAAAACATTTGAACAGCTACATGAATAGGAAAGGTTTAGAGGGATATGGACCAAATGCAGGCAAATGGGACTAATTAAGTTTGGGATACCTGGCCGACATGGACACGTTGCACCAAAGGGTCTGTTTCCATACTATATGACTCTATGATTCTATAATTTTAAAAACATAGCTTTTGCTTCCATATTCCCCACCAAAAGCAATTATCAATCTGGATTTATCTCCTTCAAAGTAATACTTTGGTTAGATTAGTTTTTAAAACACAAGGAAACTGAAACCTGGTTTATTTTCCTATCATTATACTCATTAAGTCTTTTTATTCTGATTTCTAGAAGGACAAGGACAGCAGCTACACAAGAACACTACCACTTGCGAGTTCCCCTCCAAGCCACTCACCTTCCTGGCTCAGAAATATATCGCTGTTCCTTCACTCTGACTGGGTCAAAATGTTGGAACTCCCTTCCAAACAGCACTGTGGGTGTCACAATACCCCATGGATTACAAGAGCTCAAGGTTACTCACCACCACCTTCTGAAGGTGGCAATTAGGGATGAGCAATTAATGCTGGCCCATCCAGTGACATGTATTGTTGATGGATGTATTTCGAATATGTCTACAATCATTGCATTTTCTTTGTTCATTCATTTCCTTCCTTTCCCTGGCCAACACTGATGCTTCCTGCCCAGGGCTAATAGCAGATGCTGATGCTAAAAAAGAAAGTTCACACTTGGATTTCTATAGCACCTCTCCTTACATTAGGAAATGTCTAAGCTCTTCAGTGCCAGTGAAAGGCTTTGAAGTGAAGAAACTCTCACAATGTAAGTAACTCATAAACAGGACACTGATCTTCACTTGTCATTTCTGGGAGAGTTTAGTGACTCCTGACTGATTTGGTTCCAATTGGCAAATGACAACAACAGTGGGAGTGAAATACAAATTGTGCTGGTTTCCAATGATTCATCGATTCAAACTGTGAAGACGAGGAATAACTGGGCACAGCATTCACAGCAGCAGGTTTTATTTAATTCCTTCGTGGTGTGGGCATCACTGGCAGGGCCAGCATTTGTTGACCACCCCTAATTGCCCTTGAAGCCTGTGGCTTGCAAGACCCTTTTAGAGAGCAATTCAGAACGAATTGTGGATGTGGACTTACCTATAGGGCAGACCAGGTAAGGATGGTAGATTTCATTCCCTAAAAGGACATGAGTGAACCAAATGGGCTTTTACAACAATCAAAGATATTTTCATGGCTCACCATTCCTGAGACTAGCCTAAAATTCCAGACTTTTAATCAACTGAATTTAAATTTCACCAATTAACTCAGTGGGATTCAAACACATGCCCTCAAAAATTATAAGCATGGGTCTGTAGAGCACTGGTCCAGTAATGTATCCATCATGCCACTCTCTTCCCTCATTGCTTTCCTCTACCACTTCATGACTAATTGCATAGAATCTCTGCAGTATGGAAGCAGACCAGTTGGCTGATTGAGTCCACACCAACCCTCCGAATAGCATCCCACCACCCACCCTATCCTTGTAACCCTGTAATTCCCATGGCCAATCCACTTAACTTGCACATCTTTGGACTGTGGGAGGAAACCAGAACAAACCCATGCAGACATAGGGAGAACATGCAAACTCCACACAGGCAGTCACCCAAGGTGGAATCGAACCCAGGTCCCTGGCAGGGTGAGCCATCGTGCCACTCTGAATTTGGCAGTGGATCCTATAACCAGTGGTGAAGCCTCAATTTGGTTTGCAAAGCTTCTAACTCTAGTTTTAGGTAAAAGACACTAATTTCCTATCGAGTGGCTGGCATAGCCCAAGAGAAGAATGGGAGCCCAAATTTCAACACCCACAAGGTTTATAAATGGGTGCCATGATGATCAATTTCTCTGCAAGTGAGTAAAGCTCCATACACTAATCTCTCCCTCTACATCCTACTTAGCACAATATGTTATTTGACTGGCGAACCTAAGCCATGGTCCAATCTTACCTGTATCTTTGGGTAGGCTGCAGGGTCTCGCAGGTATGGCTCCTGGAGCTGCAAATATTGTCGACACACCTTGATAGGACAATCCAAAGCCACCTATAGCCATTAAAATGTAATTAGTACAGTATGCTGAGATAACCGGGAAAGTTCAACTCTACGGCCAATACGCTGGATGCTATACCATCTTTTCAGAGTTGACACTCCTTTGTTGTAACATTTACAACAAAGCCACTACCCAGTTTTGTCACTGGGTCAGTTTCACTGCAGCAGGACTATGTGAGTTCTGAATTAGTGAGTTCCTGAAGCCAGTGCATAGATAGCCACCAGTTATAGAGTTTAGTATTGAAAGGAATAAAGACTGTGCCCTGGATTTGGAGAGGCAATGGAAATGGCAGAAGTAGCAGAATAGTCCCAACTCCCAACACAGCATCTACCATTTTTATGAGGGTGGGTCCTGTTTCATACGTGTGGGTTTGTGAAGGAAGTTCCTCATAGAGGTTGCCCTATTCTTTCTGGTTCTTGGTGATCCAGGTGTGTAAAATATGGCATGTGCAGGTTAGACCTGCTAGGAGCAGTCCTGAGGTTACTGGGTTCATTGGATAGCCAGGGTACCCTTTTGGAGAGTTAAGGTACCACTTTGTAGCTGACCCTGGCAATACATCTGGGGAGTTAAGCTGACCTTTGTAAGAAGTGAACTACCCTTTGAAAGAGGTAACAGTACACACTGGTATTGTTGCAAGTGGGCATGAATGTTGTGTAAAAACTGCATATAATTGTCAAGATAATTGAAACTGTCACCAAATTTGTCAAAAGAAACTGTCAAAAGTGTCAAATGGACCTGCCAAAAGGAACTTGGAAAAAATGTTAAAAGAGCTGTCAATAGCAACTTTCAAAAGGAACTGTCAGACATTGCAAGGCATTTAAAATGTTTGCCCTTTGAAACATTGAAAAAAATGTCTGGAAAGGTCTGGACTATTAACAACAGTCATACTATTGGCTCACATAACCCTCAGGATCTCCATTACTGTATAACTGCTGCAGGACCAATTCATAACCTTTCGTTATCACAGTAGGATGCCTGCCGTTTCATAGTTTTGTTGACAGCATGAAGAGGTTACAGACTCTTTGAAGTGGGACTATGAACTTCCAATACTACTTACAGGGAATTATGCAGTTGAGTGAAATGCTTGTTGTTAAAAGAGGTAATGTAATTGAAGGAATGTAAATATGGTGAGTAGGATTTTATGAATGAAAGGTTTATTTTTAAACAAAGTCTTCAACAAACACAAACATTCATCTCAACATGAGTCCTAGATTCTGGCTATAGTGGATGCTCAATGAATAAACTTTCGAGTCGAACAGAGTTGCAAGGCTGGTGGGCTGGGGAACAGGCTGGCACGTGTTGATGAGGGGCTGGGAAGTGCCTTAGGGAGTGGGCACAGAGTTGTAGGTTGGCAAGTGTTGAGGAGAGGGGACTGTTTTCTGCTTTAATCACTTTTTAGAAAAAAACTCAATAGAACATGAGAGCAGGCCTTTCGCCAAGCCTGCCGCCGCACTCCAATGGACTCGCCATGCATTCCGGGGTCACCAGCATGACTCTCAGTAAAACTGGCTGCCTCAAAACCAAAATTCCAACTTCCAGGGCACATTCTCCCATAGCAGGCACCTCAGCTTTCCCAAACTCACAGGGAATATCCAGGCCAGAGTTCAACAGCAGTTGATTCACAGGAAGAAAAATACTTGAAACAAAACCCACCGAACCTCTTAAACTGCAACTCCTTGTGACATTGCAATGATTGCGGTGGTTGAGAAATAAAGAAAGTTATCTTTTACGGTTCTCTTACCAATCCTCTGAACAGGCTGAACCCAATCACAAGAAGGAGGGAAATGGTCAACAATAGATCAAGAGGTCTCTGTAGCAGGTTCTTCTTTTGGACAATTTCAATAGCCTGAAATAATGGAGTAATGTAACAGAATGAAATAATAGCTTATTTTTCAAATAGACCTGTTCAAAACTTAAGACTGAAAATATCTGAGAATTAATATGTAATGCATGCATTTGATATTTATCCACTGTTTTGCCAGAATTAACTTGAAACTGTCAGTCTTGCTGGTAGCTCTCTTCTTTCCGAATCAGAAGGTCCCTGCTTCAGAATCTCTAGCACAAAAACCCACACTGATACCCTGGCGTATTGCTGGAAGAGGTGATGGCTCATGGATGGGATATGTAAGCAAGGCTGTGTTTTCAGTGGATGTAAAGGATCTCATTACACAATTTTGAAGAATAGGGTCCTGGGATTTCAGTAAAACAGATTACCTGCTCACTGTCACATGGTTATTTTTTCAGAATCTCGCTGTCTCCATTTCCGACGTTATAACAGTGGCGATATATAATTAAGTGCATTGTTTGCTGTAAAGCATTTTGATGCATCCTAAGGTTGTGAAAGCCACTATATATCATGCAAGTACTTCTTCTTTAAATAGCCTCATCAATGAGCACACTGAAGAGCATCGTACAAACAAGTCAAGAATTTAAGCTCCAATATCAAAGCAAGTAGAACATCAGGTATAGCATTAAATTCTTAGCTATTCAAATGTTGAAGTAATCTTCTACAAAACATGTTATATTGTTTGGTTTAACCATAACAGGATTTAAATTTGATAACCAGTGAAAAAGGAAGGGGGATCGTGGTATGTACTCAATCAATGCCCATTCATTGCATCACAGGCAGCATATTAAACTAAAGCTGATTTTGTTTTAATTTGTCCTTTCTGAATATGTTGGCAGTGCTTGGCCAGTCCCATTCCTAATTGTCCTTGAAAACATAGTGGGGAGCTGCCTTCTTGAATTGCTATAGTCCATCTGGTGTAGATAGACCCACAATGCAATTAGGACGAATTGGCCCAAAATCCTGGAATTCCCTCCCTAAGGACATTGTGAGGCAGTGCACAGCAGGTGGACTGCAGCAGTTCAAGAAGGCAGCTCACCACCACCTTCTCAAGGGCAACTAGGGATGGGCAAGAAATGCTGGCCAGCCAGCAATACCCACACCCTGCAAAAAGAATACGTGGGCTGGATGGACGGATGGATGGACGGACAGATGGATGGATGGACAGACAGGCAGACAGATAGATGAATAAACAGACAATAAGTAAAGTTCTGACATCTTTACCCAACAACACTGAAGAAACAGCGATATGTTTCCAAGTCAGGGCATGGCTTGGAGGGGAACTTGTAGTTGGTGGTGTTCCCATGTATGTGCTGACTTGTCCTTCTAGATGGTGGATGTCACAGGTTTGCAAAGTTCTGCCTAAAGAGCCTTGTTGAGTAACTGCAAGTATCATGTAGATGGTACACACTGCCATCACTGTGCATTGATAGGTTAGGGAGTAAATGTGGATTGGGGGTCAATAATACAGGTTACTTTGTCCTGGATGGTGTTCAAGCTTCTTGAATGTTGTTCGACCAACATTCGGTCAGGCGAGCGGAGTGTTTCAGCATTATGCCTTGCGGCTGGGTTGCGGGGGGGTGCAGGCTTTGTTGAGTCAGGTGATTTATTCACCGCAAAATTCCCAGCCTCTGACCTGCTCTTGTAGCCACACTATTTAGAAGGGTAGTTAGTTCAGTTTCTCAACAAAGCTAGCCCCCAGGATGTTGCCCGTGGGGGATTCAGTGATGGTTATGCTGTTTAACATCAAGGGGCGATAGTATTGAGCCCTCAGTATTTGCCATAAGTTTCTCTTTCTTTTCTTAATCTTAACCTTTATGTCCTTTGAGATCTGGTGTTCTCAGGTAATGGTCTTACCCTTTGTCTTTATGAGAAAATATTTTCCCTGTATTCTCACTGCTCCTTTTTAACCACAATGCTGCATACCTGGGTCCCATGCCAGTCTTTCTGCTTCTTTGCAAGGGTCCTGACCTCACCCGTTCCTCAGCGGACTGTTTTTCCCTTATTCCCACTGAGCCGTGTTTTGCAGGGGCTCCTTGACACTATACTCTGTCAAATGCGGGCTTACTGTCAAGGAAAATCACTCACACCTCACCTCTGGAATTCAACTCTTTTAGCTGTAATAACGACGGGAGCTGAATGGCTCTACAGAACCCAAACTGAGAATCAGCGAGCAGCTTATTGCTGAGTAACAGCAATCTGATCTCACTGTAAACGACCCCTCCATCATTCTGCTGATGGCCAAGAATAGACTGATGGGGTGGTAACAAGCCGGGTTGAATTTCTCCTACTTTTGTGGATAGGAATACCTAGGCAATTTTCCACAGATGCCGGTGTTGTAGCTGCACTGCCTGGCTAGGGGTGATGCTAGTTCTAAAGCATGGGACTTCAGTGCTACTGCTGGAATGTCAGGGTCCAAACCTTTGCAATCTCCAGTGTTTTCAGCTATTTATAACACATGAAAAGAATTGGATTGGTTGAAGGTTAGCATCTGATAAGGTGGAGCCCTCGGTAAGGGTGCACTCCACACATCTGAATGAAAATGCTTCCGTCTTTACTTTTGCACTGATGCGTACCACTGTCGATGGGGATTTTCGTGATTCATCATGCTCATGTGAGATGTTTAATGGTGCCCCACTGTTCAGGACTGAATGTGGCAGGACTACAGAGCTCAGACCTGACCCGTTATCACTCACATAACCATTGCAACAGCCAGGTCATTTCTACCCCTTTCCATCCCCATGTGCTCCTCCCCTCACACCCTCACTTTACTTTCACTTCAGTCCCAGATCTCCCATTCTTGCTGATCAACATCACCCTCCAATCCAACCGCTAATCTTGTTTTCACTTTGCTTGGAACCTAAACACCTCTGGTTTCACATAGGAATAACTCTTAGGATCTTTGCTACTAAAACAAATGATCTGAGCATAACTGTTAAAGGGAATCGATCTGTAAATGTGCATACAGTAGAGAGCTATGTGCAAAAGCCATGCCTGTAGACCACGCTCAATGACTACATTCAGATCTGGATGTGTTGAGGCATTGGGTCTGTGATTAACAAATTAGGTTTAATACAGAAAAGTCTTAAATTATGTATGTGAATGGGGTGAATGGTGAACAAGAACAATCTTCAGATAAAATATTAAAACTGATTTGGAAGGAAAGGGATGTGCGTATGATAGTGCATTGATCTCAAAAGGTTTATGACCAATACAGGGATGTTGTAGCAAATCAGGTGCTAGGATGTATTAATAGAACTATTCATGATAAAATGTTTTGCCCATTTGCAAGATCTTGGTTAGGTCTCAGTTAGAATATTTAGTTCAGTTATAGTCTCCTCACACAATGGATGATATTGAGACTTTGGAAAGGGTGCAGGTGAGGGTCACTAGATAAATTCCAGTACAAGGAAAGTCTCAGTGTGCGAATAGTTGGAGTCAAGTGTCTAAAGACTTGCGAATGTGGGCTGATTCAATCAAGATTTTCAGCATGAAGTGACTAAGTTGTTTTTGCATACATCGCTTCAACAGAATAGTTTGGGGAGGATTAATGACAGGCTTAAAAGCTGTGTAATGACAGGAAAGGTTAGATGCTGGGAGTATGTTCCTCTTCTCCCACTGAATACTGAACTCACTCAGCAGGTTGTCAGCTTCTGCAGTGGATGCTGATTCGCTGAATTCCTTCAAGCGAGATCTGGGCCTATTTTTCACAAGAGGGAGGAAGGTTTTAAGGAGTAGGATGCCCCCCCTCCGATCAGTTTGGATTCAACAACAAGGGAACCAGTGTGAATTTTCCAAAGTTTTGTGCATCTCAAGGTTGTTCTCTTCACCTCTGAAAGGATTACACGATGGAGTAGGAAACATTTGCACAATGTATTCGATCCGTATGGGACTGGAAACAGCAGATAATTCATTGCTGTCCATCAGTCTTTAGATGTGTCACACTGAACCTCTTGAAAGCTTTATTCAACTCACATTTAAATGCATTTTATCCTGTTATGGTTAAATAGTTAATTCCAAAACATGTGATAGCTGTTAAGCACAAAAACAAATGTGATCTCACACAAGCAAATGTTTTTCAAATGTTAAAACAAATCACGGATGGAAGTTTTCAAACTGAATAAAAATTCTTTTTTTCAAAGTTTGCAAAATGAATTGATAATGAAGATTAAACAAAACACAAATTAGGAAAGGAGGGACTTTTCATATATGGTGGGTGAATAATGCCATTGAGTCATCAATATTTGTAAGAGACAAATAAAAGACTTATAAAAGATTGTGGGGGTTCAGGTGATGGCCTGCTGGACTGCTAACCCAGAGACCCAGATAATGTTCTGATGACCCAGGTTCAAATCCCAACATGCAGATGGTAGAATTTCAATTCAATTTTAAAAAATCTGGAATTAAGAGTCTAATAATGACCATGAATCCATTGTCGATTGTCAGAAAAACCCACCTGGTTCACGAATGTCCTTTAGGGAAGGAAACTGCCATCCTTACCTGGTCTAGCCTACATGTGACTCCAGACCCACAGCAATGTGGTTGACTCATAACTGCCTTCTGGGCAATTAGGGATGGACAATAAATGCTGCCTAGCCAGCGACGCCTTCATCCATAAATGAGTTCTTAAGGGGACTATATTTTATAGACAGGTTACAGAAACCTGGCTTGTGTACACTTGAGTTTTACTGATTGAGGGGGTGATCTGATCAAGATGTTTAAAATGTTAAACTGATTTTATAGTGTAAATGTTAAAAGCTACTTCCTCTGGTGGGGACGATCAATAATTATGGGGCATCCTCTGTCAATTAGAGATAAGCCATTTAGGAGGGAAATCAGGAAACATTCTTTCACACAATGGGCAGCAGAAATCTGGAACTTTCCATCCAAGGAGGCTATGGAGGCTGGTAGAACTCAAGCTTTCAAGACAGAGATTGATAGATGCTTCTTCAATAAGGGATGTGGAGTAAAGGTGGATTAATAGAACGGAGGTTTTTTTT